CTGGACATCCGATGCTCTTAGCATCAGCCTCTTCGTTCTCGCCATGTGAATGCAGGCGAAGTTGCTTTACCTGACTCCTAATTTTTATCGTCTAATTAATTGTCTAACTAGTGTACTAGATTATTATAGTGGAGAGCGTTGTAACGGTGATTTAAACTCGTCACTTCTGATCGTCGAGCGTTCAATGAGCCCGTGTTCTTGTACGACATCTGCAAACAGAAATTTTTTATCCTTATTAATTATTATTATTATTACTATTACTATTATTATTATTACTGTCATCATTATTAATATTATTATTGTATATAATTAAAACGTTTTACATTAAAAAGTTGTTCTGACTTTCTTTCATATATTTTAGAAATTTAATATTTAGAAGAAAGAATTTTTACAGAAGTAATAATAAATTTTTAGCTAACATATGATAGGTGCAAACTAAAAATTTCTTTTATACATTAAACATATTTGAAATAACGCAACAATGACACCACTCATTAGAGACTTCGATTTTCTACTGTTGAATAGATTTCTATTATCTAGTTTCTGTTTTACTTATATATTCATACAATTACAAGCATTAATTTATCACTATGACATTAAAAATAATCAAATGAGGCAAATTTGTATTAAAAAGTTACAATTTAGAAATTATTCAAGTAAAAATCATACATATACTACAAAGAAAAGTTAAAGAAAAGTTACTAGTTAAAGAAAATAGTAAATAATGTTTTTTTCCACTACATCAAAATTAATTACTAAAATAGACGAATATCTACGTCTATATCTAGTATTATATAGTTATGTCATATTGATATTATCTTTCAATATTACCAATATTATTTACGACTACTTACAAGACAAAAAAATTGTGTTTAAATTATATAGTACACGATAATAAAGGAACAAAATTTCTCAGTTCTTTTCTAGAAAGATTCTTCAATTATGTATCGATAATTGTTTTCGTTCCACGTAATGTACAATGTATGTGCTAAATGAAGTATTGAAGGTATGCTAAACGAAGAAGAATTTTTGAAACATACTCTGTAGGTTATGATGTACGGTGCATATCGTCCAGTTTCTCTAAGCTAGGACTTTGGTTAGTATGGCCGGCTTGCGTCCTTGGGCCTTTTTAACTGGACTTTCAAACGTTTCATCCCTATCTGGAAGCCGTTCATTGATTGAATTGCTGCTTGCGCGCTTGCTGGATTGTCGTACGACACGAAACCTGTAAGAAACGAATAATAAAACTGATAATGAGTGCAGAACGAGATTTTGGCTCAAACGTGTAGGTACATATTATTCCTTAAAAACACTTGAAAGAGAATGACACATATGTATATTATAAAAGCTTGGAAACAACATGAATATTTTATTAAACGGTATATTATTTTGTAATCTGAGGAAAGGGCGAAAAAAAATCTGTTTTTATTGGGAAAGTAACGGTTCACATTATATACGGACCACGATAAATGGAACTATTGCGGATGTATTGTTAGCCAAGAGTGGGTGCTTAAAACTACGATAAAAATATAAATGAGACATTTGAAACGTCAATGAGAGTCTGAAAAACATTAATGCTACAATATGCCATTGTAGGATTTCATTATTATCGTCTATGGTACAAAGAATATTCGAATTTTCGGAGATTACTGGAGGAGAAAATTTGTTCAATTTCAGACAAGTTTCAAATATTGTTTCAATGAAAACATTTCTACGTTTGTATCTTCTTTTTAGTTACTATTTAATGCCATGTCTATTAAATAACAATACCGATGATACTCAATACGAATCATCCGTTAGATAATTTATGTTTCTAGCAATTTATAAAAATAAGATCAGTGTTTATTAAATGTTACATTCTTCACAATTTTCTCGTGTTTCTTATCGGAAAATATAAGTGCATCGGTCTGAAATGACGGATTCTTATGTATGCAATTATTTCGTCTTCTTTTGTATTGGATTTCATACTTTTGTTCTTTAGAGGTTTCAATTCAAGACAATTAATTGGTGCGACAGCTACATTTGTCCAGTTTTCTTTCTATTTGTCGGTTTTCGATACTATGGTTATAACCACTTCGTTTGCTGCTTATCACTTCTTTCTTTTACATGTATCTCTATGTATGAAAATATTTAATTGGGTATGAAAAAAATCTCCGGGTATGTTTTATTCGATATACTGTTTGTGTTATTCTGATATTTAGATATTTAGATACTGCAATTCATACGTGGTTGGCAACCCGTTAGTACAGAATAAATTTGATAATTATCATTTGTAATTATTCTTATCAATAACTATTTGTAATTATTTTATCAATAATATTTTATTAATTATTAAATTAAACCAATAAGTATGCCTACAACTATGTAGGGGTGGATTTAGTGAATTAGCCCTATTCTAATATACTTTTATTCTTACACATTTGAATAACAGATTTCTGCGGTATTCAACTATAGACTTTTAGAAATTATAATGACCTTAATAACATAAATTTCGTTTTTGTCACGAATTTGAAAGCATCAGTGTTTCACGGCGTTTCCTTTAACTGGATACATTAAAATACCTCACCAGAGATTCAAGTTTTCAAAATAATGTTTTTACAAAAGTTAATTGATTCGAAAGGCGACATTATAAAGCGTTAATTATTTTTTCGCAAGTCGAGTAGTATGAGATATTTGGAGATCAACTTCGATTTTTTTAAATGGAACCACGTAATTGTGAGTGCATAAATTGATTTATCTGAGCATTTTCTATCAAAAAATATTAACTGTTTATATAGAAAAATCATTAGCACAGAAGATGTTTTGATTCAAATGTTGTCATTTCGTACGGTTGAAATTTGAAGGAGAGAAAAATGAGTCAGTGTCTTTGATTTAGTCGATATAACCATCTAAGGATTGAATAAATAATTACACATGACTACTGATGATCTGACTAATTCACAATATTCATCTCATTAGACGTTACCACACTGTGGACATAAAAGGACAAGCTTTCATTTAGAAAAATAAACTTTGATATCACTCCCATAATTTTGTCTACAGAAATATTTTATATCGTCTAATAGTTTATGTCGAATTATACGTTTTCCTATGTTCCTCAACTATTAAGCAGGCAGGTGAAATTTTTTAACGTTAGTGCTCGGGTAGGGAATGCAACACCGTATAGTGAACAAAGGTTTGTGAGCGTAAGAAATGAGAAAGTTTTGCCTCAATGATCGGAGTAATCTACTATTGCTAGCACGTTCAACAGTTTGTGGTTGTATTACATTTATAGTTATCTGTTGCAAATATTTCCGTCTGACCAATTTAATATCACGGTTATTCGCGAAAAATATAACTTGTAAATTTACGTTAGGAAAATGAAAACTTTTACGAAAATAAAAATTTAAGTTAAGGAAATGAGAAGGTAGACAGATATGTTGACGGGGGGAAATTTATAAATAGAAATTTGGGCTTTCTAGATAAATACGAATGCTTAAATGTTCGAAAGTGGTTTAATGTTATAATTCTTTGCACTCTGAATTTCTTTTGCATGTTTTCCTCAATCACTCTGTATTATTACGATATTTTATTTGAAATGCACTTTGAAGAATAGATAGTTTGTGGAGAGCAGTGCAAACGATTTATATTATTAATAATATTGAAAATAACATAATAATATAATCTATTTTAATATCTTGACAAGGTAGCACACCTGGGAATAAAACTGATGCCGAGTTACTCTCGACATAGGAGCGCAAAGGGTTAATATGTTAGAGGTTTCTCTAATTCTTAATTTTTTCATCTTTATTTCATTGTTCTTGTATTATTCAAGATCGATAGATAATCCTGCCCTGTATGTTTTTTTACTGGATTTTAAAACTTGCTTCAATTTAGTCATAAACTTTTAACAGTATAATATTAGAATTTTTACAACCTTGGTTCTTTTATACAATGTATACTTAAATAATACGTGCCAGTGAGCATAAACTGATTTCTTATGAAAAGTAAGCAAAGAATGCAGAATAAAACTTTTTCATTCGGTGTTCAGTTTACAGGAATATCAAGTTTGGAAATACTGTACGTGTTATATACCTACGGTCAGTTACGAGAAAGTGGAGCAACTTAGAACGGTTAACCTATTTGTAGACAATATCGGTATGAATTTAACTGTTTGAATGCTTAAGAATTTTCCTGAATGTATGTTAAAAATTAAATTAATTAAATGAAGTAAAGTATTTACTCCTTACTGTTTGTAAAAATAATAAAACGTTAATAATTTACTTTATTGCGACATACATATAAGAATAATTTATAATTTATGTATTATCAAAAATCATACTTGATACGAATACGACCGTTCACAATCAATGAGAAATGATAATAATAAGCAACAATGCGATCGCACTCTCTTGCATTTAAAAGAGGTATGTACCAGAATCAAGAGAGATCAAGAATACTTCACCAACAATACTTTATTCTCAATGATAAAAATTCATTGCAAAAGACTTCGTATTACTATCTGTATCGGTTCATTTTATTCTGATTAGGTACAATTGGTTAAAATAGAGTTCTCTACAATAACGAATAATTGATCTGTTATTATTAACAGTATTATTAACAGTATTTTTCTGTTTTTTTCTTAAGTTTAGTAACTCTAAAATATCGTATAGGTATTATATACAAATAGAAGAAGCGTTAAATAAAACAAATTAACCTTTTAAGTCATAACGGCTTCTCGAAAACCAAGCCTAGCATGAAAAAATGTTAGTCTGTATTTTTCTTCATAAGAAATCATTGCATACCGTTTGTACATGTTACTCGGCTGGGTACTGTATATATTAATAAATAATCGTTATTTTTATTGCCGTTTTGTACAATTTGTTTCACCATAGTTTGAAATCCTTCTTTATTTCGAGTTTATATTTTGGAATCGCGCATGACGCTACAATATTTATTCTAACAATAAATTGTTCTAATGAAGTATTAATTTGATGTGCATTAATTATTGCTGGTTATTTTAATAACGAGGTATTTACGTTAGTTATTCGCCGGCATTCAATCCAGTTTGTGAGTTCAGGAAATATCAGTTGGTTGATGCCCTGAATGAAATTCAGTTAGAATATTATTATATAAATCAGATATTGCATTCAGTGTTACTAGGATTACACATAATTGAATTAACAGCATCATACATGTGATTAGCAATACTGAAATGTGTTAGATTGAAAGTATTTAGTAGGTAGAATTAGATCACAGATTTATTTCTTAACTATGATCGATACAACTACTTTGTCATGAATAATTTATTAAGAAAAAGAACAAAATAATAAGCATACTCTCTATCAATCTTTACTCCAAAGTATAATAATTGATAACAGAACACTAATACTTAATTTGAACATTCATGTTTGTTAAATTCTGTTGAAAATTTTCACCACGAGTCTGACACATTATTGTATGGCAAGGGTGTTAAGTTATAATATAAGAATTTAATAGATTTTCTTCATGTCATTTAGCATGTACTTATTCATCTCTCGCGTTACGGCCGCCGGCCTGAAGCTTAACCCTTTACTGTCAGAACATTTTCTGATGACAGTACCAGCTAGTCGAAGTAAATATATATATTTTCAAAGTTATTTCTCTATAGATGGTTTATAATAAATATATGGATATTACAAATTTATTGAAGTTAATGTGGTTTGTCGAATATAAATTCTGTAAAAAGTAATAAATACAATACCTCTCGATCGTAAAATAACACTGTACTCGGAAAAAAAGAACGTGCCGTTATATTAGCGACACCGATTTCGAAAACAAATGTTAAATGTCGCCACTGTGGCAGCACCGATTGCAAAGGGTTAAAAGTGCACAGGGGCAAGGGGAGACATCCACTGACGGCGCACAGCCCGATAGTTATGGCGGCTCAGTTTGGGCACGCCTTTGTTATTGGCCGTCTAATTTCTTCGTCCCGTGGCTCGGCCAGTAACAGAGACGTACCAGAACTGAGCCGCCATAACTATCATGCCGCGAGTGCACGTCACCTATTGCTCCTGTGCACTTTTAACCCTTTGCACTCCAGAGGGGCCTCTCAGTTGCCGATTTATTTGACACAGCCAAATTATATAGTGTGATATTTAATATTAAACTTTATACAACACGTCAATATATAAAGTATTGAAAGAAAATAGTTTTCTTCCTCAATTTATGTGCGATTTCTCGACAAGTCAATTTCAGAAAATGTCGTCTGCACCTCATTAGAAAATATTGAAATGTTTCCAATGAAAAACTTCTGGAATGCAAAGGATTAAGCATCAGGCCGGCACACAATGCGGCCGCCTGGACAAAACCCTCAAATTCGACTATTCGCATAACGAAGATTGAAAATTACCAATGTGTTAGTAAGTAGTCCCTGCTATATAAAATGATTTTCATTTCAAAAATAGAAATTTTGTGCGAATAAATTCCGTTCCTCTATTTGTATACTATTAGAATCGAAATGTAAAATATCCATTGTCATTCAAAAAACTTCATAATATCCCCATAAAATAAAAACAAAATATAACCACCGTATGTTCAGCTCTATAGCTTACAAATTTTGTCTGAAGCATTTTGTTGTATCACTCATACTTTTGAAGTTATTGAGTTTTTTTCCAGAAAACGACCGTGCAACAACTGTAACGTGAGAGGAGAATAGTAGTATGTACAATACATGCATATAGTGCTTTATACGATAAAAAGAAAAACTTTGAAGATAGATAGCAACATTTTAACTTGCAGTTGCCGTATTTTGTTTCTTTTTTCACAAAGAAACTTATAAAGTTGTCCAAAATCTAACAAAAATTTATTGTCTATATTGACAATTCCATATTTAAGAAACTTACATATACCACCAATTTTTTAGGTACTCAATTACATTCAATTTTTACGGAGTCTTCCACTAATTGGGGTTTTATTAAAATTTTATTATGTTTTTTACCTTAGAGCTACTATAAAAATATAAATAAAAGTTTGGAACGGCAATGATAGTTTAAAAGCGAATAGTGCTACAATATGTATATTTCCAAATATATACAATCCCTCTTAAAATGTTCGTAGAATAAAAAAAACCAGAAGAAGTCGATCAAAATGATCTTCCTACGAATTAACAATTTGTTCCTCTATCATCGGACGAAGACGAAAAAGTTGAATATAAAGAGCGTTCGGCTATCAAAAATGGTAATCAGGGGCTAACCAGTGATTTAGATTAGTCGATTCGCCGCTAGGAATAAAAAGTTTTCCACGATGAGGTCTCGGCATTATCAAAGTTTCGTCTGGAACGGGAGAAAGTGAGAGGGAACGAAAAGGTGTACGATAACGAAGCTTTTAACAACATGAGCCCCGCTGAAAGGTCATCAGGGCCATCCCAGTTTAAGCCAATTTTGACCATTAGCCCCGATCCAATTTTAGTTTTGCCATCATGGCGGCCTACTGGCCTGACCAATCGCGGCTGTTCATCGCTCGCCGGCCACCGCTTTTACTCAGAGTTCGTAAATTACTTTTACTAGCCGACTGAAAAGAGACTTTAACTCTTGTTCGATAGAAAACATTTCCTTTGCACGGTTCTCCTTCCTTTTTCTTTTTTCCCAACCCGGTATACCGGTGTGTTTCCAGCGCTACAGAGTTTCGAGGAATTAATTCGCAGCATTGTAACGCGTTTCTGGCGTGTGCAGGGTTGAATTACGTTCCGCGCAGGAACGAATTATTTCGGTTACAATGCTCAAAGTATTCTCTCGTCGCTCTGTCCCCCGTTCTCGTCGTGTCAAAGAATTTTTTCCGCAAGCTGATCAGAGCCGATTATCAAGTGCACGTTTCAAACGGACAGTATGTTCGTTCGGCTCGTACGCCCCTTTTTTTCATCAGCGCCATGTTAATTACATGCGAGGGGGGATATATTATAAACTGGAATATAATCACGCGTGGACAATAAAACTCATTCAATTTTGTCTTCTGTCTAACATTAACTACTTTATGGTGTCAGCGAATAGCCTAAGGACAGCATGGGCGTCGGTTCAATTATCTGCGACCATATTCGCACATTCATTCCTTGTTCGATTAAAACTCGTTTCTTTTTCGCGATGTCCTACAATGTATCGAAAAGGGCTAAATGAGTGGGTATTTATGTTAAATAGAGAATTCATATTACGCGAGGTTCTAAATACGTATGTGCATTGACAAAGTGAAAATCTCTGGGAAATGGAACCTATAATATTCTAATTGAAATCGGAATAAATATGAGAACATTGTATAGAAAGATTGTACTGGTACATGTTTACCAAATTAGAAGCTGCATTACTTTATAAGTGTTTTCTTATGATGGCAGAACTCTTTGGAAGTTGTAATTTTAGAGTGATAATACAAATAATATAAAATATCTGTAAAACATGTTTGCCATAGTCTTAGACTTATTTTGCAGATATAAGACATATTTCACTTAAATCTTATTACACGAAAATTGATTGTGAGTGCGTGTTATAATTAAAAATTTTGTAATTATAATGTTACTGTCATAATGGAAATGTATTCAGATTCTTACTGTACTGTTAACTTTTCAATACTTTAAGATTTTTATAAAACAATATAGAAAAATCTACGTTTGGATAATGAGTTCTAGTTTACCGATTGCAGAAGCTCAATTACGTCCGCATAAAACGGCAATAGTCTTAGAAATTCACAAATCGAATTAATTAAAAAATTGATTTATACAACCAATTGTTCGAAATTATTTGCCTTTTCTCCTCCAGATTTCTGTTAATCAGTGAAACACAAATGGCGTAAGCTTTGCCGCCGTGTCTTACTCAGTAAACAATTATTGATTTCACGAGTAATAATTATTTGTAATTATATATAGTCATTTTGTGTTGCTAATAAGCACCGGAGTGCTGGCTCCTACCTTTCACAGATTTTCAAGATCAGTCCAAGTTACCTGTTCTTACGTTTCTCTCTTCCACGGGCCACGATTGATCTGTATCGCGGGAATGGACACACTTACCGAAACATTTACTCTGGTTGGTGGCCCGGTCGATGAAAACCTTGGAGGATATGACGTTGCCAAAAGGTATGAACGCGTGCATGAGGTCGGTGTCTCCAAAGTCTTGAGGCAGGTGATAGATGAACAGGTTGCAGCCCTCGGGTCCTGAGAGAGAGCATCCTACCATATAAATCAGAGCACATCTAAACATCTAAACTTGAAGTATAATACTCAAGTTAGAATGTTAGTTCTGGATGAGTTTCGTCCTTTGCAATAATGATTCCGACGCGTCAGGAGAGCACACTGTTTTTCGCTCTCCCACCTCGATACTTTTTGTCTGAATGCGGTTTTTTGATGAATGAAGGTGTAAGACTCGTGGCTCGTCTTTCGATGACAATCTGATTTCTCTCTCGTCGCACAGAAATCATAAGGGATGTCAGCAGAGACAGCGGTACATATTTTGATAATGATTCGCAATGACAGGTGATTCGAGAAATTATATGTAACAAAATGATAAGCGGGGAACGAGGCTGAGGGATAAAGGGCGAAAGAACGGACGAGGGAACGATGGCGGGCGAAGGAATGATGACAAAGAGAAAATGTTGACGCAGGAACAACGAAAGAACTGGCTGAGTGGGTGAAAGGGGGATGAAAATGACGACGAAGAGAGTAATGATTAGAGTGTCACGACGATATTCGTCACGACAATGAGACTTTCCGCGGCTCAAATAACGTTGAGTATTTATACTTTCAAATATACAAACACACAACACTGGGATTCACAACACAATGGCGAGCGAGGTGAAGGGTTTTCAAATGAATGCAAATGGATATGAAGGATACAGTGATAATAGTGATGATACTGATTACGATAGTGCGACACTTTACATGAGCTCGTCGTCAGACATTATTAATCCGTCGTCACGTTTCTGCGTCGTTTTATTTTGTTGATGTTCTTTCACGTATAATCCATGAAAATGTATGAGGCTGCGTGGAAATTCGGTGGTAATATGCCAATGACCGTTTGAGAGAAGATCGACTGCCTTCACAGTCTCATGAATATTCTTAAGAATACACGGTGCATGAATTCAGGGGATTATATTTGTATTCTTGGTGAATTTTCGGTACGTTAAATATTCCAAATATATATGTTTATTTATTTGAGGTATCTATTCTTCAAATACTAAGTAACTCTAAGTTAAAGAAAAATGTAGCTGGATAAAAAAGTAAAAAAGTGTCATTAACAAAATTAAAATAAGCTGCTATATTAAACAATATTTTATCGAGAAAAAATACTTTGTATCAAATTTTCTTCCTTTATATTAAATGGTAGTGCAATTGTAAGGAAAATTGGATGATCGGACTTCGTACCACTTTCGTGGTAAACAATTTTTTAATATTCTCATGGTTGAACGCGATTGTTCGATTTTATGGTTGAACATCGTACATGTGAGAAATTAAAATACTGTAAAATTTTGTTTCTCGCGTAAAAAAGGAAATTACCGTTTGAATCGTTCTACTGTTTCAAGTAAGCATATTAAATATTTGTTGTGTTTCTGTATTCTGAATCCGACAATTCGATTTTCCATTTAACTACCCTCCCCTCAAAGTAGAAGATTAAAATTTCGCATAAACTACTTTTTCTCGATAAGATATCAACAAGTCCATCGTCGACTTAATTTAATTCAAGAACACTTTCAACCCCTCATTTAGGTACACCTTTCCAAAGTCGCTGAATCGCTGGTTTTGTCACACTATTCTCAAACGCTTCGACACGTTTCCTTCTTAGCCGGTTCATCGATGACATTTATTTTCATGTTCGTTTCGACTTTCGTAATAATTATCCGCCTCGTTAACGGGCGACCCGGCCGGGCGTATTCATTAAATATCGTTAAAGTTTTTCCAGGGAAACGCGATTCCTTTTCCCGGTTTAATTTTGCAGCTTTCGTCGGACAATGAAAAATTCCTTCCTTACTTTATGTCAGCCGCAAGAGGCACGAAGACACCGGCCGATTAATACGTCCGCGGAGAAAAGTCCGACGGCGGAGAAGCAAAGCGAAGGGGTCGGAATAACGAGAGTCCAAATAAGGATTTAGCTAATTTCACTGAACTTTATAACTCCGACGTCAATTAGCGGCGATTATGACCATGGAAAACTTCTGCTCTCTTGGCCAGCATTTCCTGACTAACGGACGCATTTAAGTAATGAGATGGCTGCCACTCAACTTTTAGGATGCTACTCATCGCGACTCGTTTGTTCCTCGGCGAGATTCACCCCTCTGTCACTTTATCGCCTTTACGTACAACCGTCGCCTTGTCGAATTACTCTAGAGTGTAATTGTCCGTTCCCAGTCCCGTGAACAATTACTATCTTCGTTCACTTCAAAGTTCACAGACGATTGTAGATCCCCTTGCCACTTAAAACGCGATTACGAATAAGTGGCCTTCAGCGGGCAAGTTTCTGCATTGATATCGGTGGGAGACTCGAACATACTCAACACACGAGTGATGACAATACTAAAGAAACAAAGTTTTAAGTCATTATTAAATGTTCTAATATATGGCTCATATCAAATTATATTTTAACCCAGATTAATGTTTAATAGGACGCGGATTGAGAATTTATTTGTATAACGGAAACCATGTTTGCAATTATATTTGCATCAATAATAACATTCTAAAAGAGAAAAATTCTCAAAAGTTATTCATTTCCTCCTTGTGGATCTTTACAATTGTTTTATTTTGAATTCTAGAGATGAAAGAAAAGTTAATAAAATTATTTTCATATATTTTCTGACGAATTAATATTTTTGAGGTGACACAAGTATTTATAATGGATCTCTGATTATAATTTATATTTCAAGAGCAGATAAAGTAATCCCTTTATCAAATATTCAGTCTCCATTAAAACAGATGACGTTAAAGGCTTCCCTGTGAAGTACTTTCGTCGATATCTGATAAATAATGTTTTCCCCGTTATAGCAGACAAGAAAATTTGAACAGTGCCGTATAGAAAGAATAACAAATGTTTTCTTTTTCGTTGGCGCGGACCGCGTCTCGGTAATAACTCGATCGTAGTTGTCACGTGAAACCCAAATTAGAGCCAGTGTCGACAGGTTTCTGGTTTCGACGTAGGGGAGAATGGCGGAGGAATTGCGGTGGACGCTGGAATCACGAAGAACGAGCCATAAATTCAAAACGTCGTCGTACCGCGCGATCGTTGATCCTGAAATTGGTTTTCGACTCTCTAATTGGCTCACGCGCGGGACGTGCACGCGAATTTAATGAAAGCAACACCTCCTCCGAACCTATGGTGGCAGTATCAACGACTAGACGACCCGTTAAGCTTAGGAGGGAACCTTTTCAACCAGTACACGCCGATTTTGATGAAAGTTATGCGAGACATAGTTCTCAAGAAAATATTTGACACATACTTTTTCTTATCGGACAACATATAGTTTGAAGGGGTGAACATGCTTCTCAAAGTTGAACGTTGAAAGAGTATTTTTTACAATATCTCTGAAACTAGGGGGTGTAGAAAGGAAATTTTGTTTAAATTGTTTGCTTCGGAATGAAAAATTCAGATTTATTTTCTACGCCCCCTAGATTCATAAATATTCTAAAAAATATATTTTCAACCCTCAACTTTGAGAGGAGTTTTCACTCTTTCAAGGTGGATGTTGGCCGATAGAATGAAATACGTATCAAATATTTTCTTGAGAACTATGTTTCGCACAGGTTTCATCAAAATTGGCGTGTGCTGGCTGAAAAGGTTCCCTTGTTAGTATCCACTAACGTTAGTATTAATCACTACAATTTCCTTTGCTTCTTGCTTCTTTCTTTTCAATTGTTCGGAGTTTCTCGAAGCAATATTTTTATCCGAGTAATTCGAGCTTTCAAATGTATTCAGAGTGGCCAGTAGTCTCCTATTATAGTAATACAACTGAAATGTATTTTAGATCTTCCATAGAAAGTGAATATTATTGGTAAATATATTTATCAATTTTGAAATCTCGAAAGTGTTCGATACGAAGATAATTGAAATAAATTGTCCTAGCTTTTGGTAAAGAAAAATGTTGGTAATAATGGTACTAACAAATTCCAATGAGACATAATTCAATGTTGACTAACAACGAAGAATTTTAACCTTTAAATATGGATGTATAATCTCACAGACCTCTACATTAAATATAATTTTGAAACCAGTGAAATTTTCAATATATATTTAATACTACTGCTTTGTAGAAATATTTAAATAAATTAAAACAAATAAATACAATAAATTTTTTTTTTAGTTGTTACAAACGAGGACACTTAACATTAATCAATTACTTTCAGACTTCTATACTTAAAGATTAAATAAAAATTCATCGAAATGGATGCAGCACGTGTTCGATTATTTACAAATTGTCAACGGATAAAGCTGTATGAAGTGAAGCTGAGTGGTTCTATCTATAACAAATGACGAAATATAGAATTGTATTTTAAACTTGATATTGATGTGTCATAAAACATAAAAACAAATGTTGACCTCTTATAATATTTACCTTTTTATGCGGGAGAACATTTTTTAAAATTTTATCGTAACAGGAATAGCGATATCTTTCAATTAGAGGAAAAAGTATACACGTGTATAGTGTATCCCAATTGGTGATACAATCGGGAATATAGTGATTCTACGTGAAAAATAAATTGGAAACGTAGAATAACATTTTGTTTATAGATTGGGTTGCCTAAAGCAAATCAATTTTCAAACCTTCCATTTGCAGAACTCTCGTTTTAAATTGTACCTCTAATTACACTCTAAATATGCTACAGCTATCCATTGATGAGATGTTATCTTTTTACGACTGAGAATATTATTAAATATTCAGAGTATTAATTATATAGAGTCTCATTACATACTAAAAACTATTCAATTCATATTACTGTCGTTAGTTTTTAAACACAAAACTATGTTTTACTGTATTAAAAAATCTGATTTTCAATTCCATAAGCAAACGTTTGATACCTCACTTACTTATATTAAGATACTGTATCAATATACTAGTAATGATTGCATTATATAAAAAAGAAACTCGATTATTTCTTATTAAATAATAATCTTAAAAGAAGATTACGCAATTGAAAATTCAATTAAGAAATCCTCAGCTGTTAATCATCGATTTTTGGAAGACTGTTGACACCAGTCAGTAAAATAACTGGTTACAAAATAAAAGTAAATAAATTACATAGTATATTTTTCTTAGTAAAAACAGGAACGACAGGAAAATAGAAAATTGAAGAACTAATTAATCAGGCAGTATAGAAATTGATATAAAATTAAATAAACGAAAGAAGATGCAGAATTTTAAATCAAACTTGAAAACGGTACGCGGTACGTTTAGTGTTAAATAACCGTCAGTAGATAAAGCGTTGACAAGACCACTCTATACACTTGTTACGATTCGTAGTTGATCGTCCTATAATAGCAACGATCAATGCTGTTTAACACCGCAACACCGAACATAGCCAAATAAATCCACACCGAGTGCAAATGGTGAGACAGCAATGTAATCCATCTAAAGTACGAGAAGGTAGAAATTTTCGGTGAAACGTTTAAAATGTTGATGGCGCAACAGTCGATCAAGAGGAGAGAGATACACGAACAGCGAGAACACCTTGTAAAAACGTATAACATTGAAATAGGTCAGAGAAGCGAGAATGATCGACGAAGCGACAGTAAATATGAAATCGATAATGATGTCATGCAATGATGACAGAGTAGACCATTTTATTTTTCCTGACACCGTCGCTGTGTCGCCTGTTTCCACGCTACATAGTCGCCTGAGTTTTAACATTGAACACCGTTCCACTTTATTTTCTTAATATTCAAGCCCTAAACAATTAGTCTGCTCAAAAGCGGATTTCTCTAAAGATGAGTAACACGTGAAAGTCAGGTTCTGTGTGCATGACTGTAGTTCTCGGTGAAACACATTCGCTACGACGACTAAATTTAAAACGAATCTCAATTCAAAAATTAATTTCAGTCACTATAAATCACATGGAGATAGAAATATATAAAAACTTTTATCACTGACTTTAATCAACGCTGATTATGATTCGTTTTCTAAATAACTATGATCTTTCTTTAAATAACAGCAACAATCTCGAAAGTTACATTGAAACGCGTGAAACGTTCACCGGATGAATCTCAAAATATTTATTTTGATTTAAAACGAAAACATCTTCAGAACTCGAAAACAACGAAGGTATTAAATGTTTGTTTTCATAAAAATCCAATGCATCGCGATTTTCGTCACAGCGAAAGTGTATCGAGGACAACATATACGCACACCGCCGTGCAAAAATATCTGATCACTTGTTTCCCGAGTAAACAAAGAATCTTTGCGTTGTCAATGGAAACGATACAAATGAGTTAATTGAATTTTTATCCAAGTAACTGTCAAAGAATACAACAGTAAGAAACAAAGAATACACCGAATACAAATACAGCGATAAATAGTCACAAACCAGTATATCGTCTTTCATTCTTCTCTAGAACACAATGAAACCGATCAAACATTTTCGGGCGGCAGTGTGCATCCCGTCGAAACATCTGCGCGTCACAGAATGCGTTGACGAGATATTGTATGTTCGATGGGAGGTAGGCGAAAAATTGGATTGGGAAGGAGCGGAAAAGGAAAACGCCGGAAACCCTGAACGAAACGGGGCAAGGAGGAAAGGGGACGCTGTTGCGGGAAACTTCCCATTATCCTACAACGTAACAACGGATAGCCGGCCGGCGTAGTGGCAAAGTAATTAAAACTTTCGTTTTATTTGCATTATCTCATTGTTAGGCGTCGTATATTCTAATAATGGCGAGTTGTTAATTGCAATTAGACGTTGGCTGAGCTCGCCGTCCCCGCTCTTTTCTGTCCGCGTTCTTATCCGCCATCTTCCGCACCACCTACTCAACCCCACCTCCCAAACGCCCTCCGAGACCACGGCTTTTCATTCACAAAGATAACATTGGAGATCAGTTTGTTCTCCGGCCCCCTCTTCCGCGCGTCGATATTGGTTCCGATTAATCTTACACTTTCAATCCGAGTCAATCAGTTTAATTAATCGTACCTCCTGGCTTTTTCACTGCGGAGAAATTTTACCGGATACCGGACGGTTACGTCGGGTGTAATGGAACATCCGACACCGGAGTCCCGAATGCGAAGCGTTACACGGGCATATGTATGTATACAGGGTGTGCCGTTTAAGTATGTACGGTGGAATATTTCCAAGTATTAAAGTTGGAACAAAAATGTTCTTACAAAAGTTATTTGGTATGAAGAGGTACGTTATGTGGTGTTAATGTTATTTTCATAGTTAGATAAATAGGGGAGATATTAAGGCTAAGTTAACTTTTTTAAATGGAATTGTATATTTATTTTTCTATAATGTAATAGTGGGATATTATTATAAAATATCATAGTATGGTATTATTGTAAAAAAATATATGATTTTATTTAAAAGAATTAACTTGACTTTGATATCTCCCTCAATAATTTAGCTATGAAAATAACATTAATGTGCTCCATCATATTAAACAACCTTTGTAAGAACATTTTTTGTCTAACTGCAATACTTTACGAGATATTTCACTGCACACGCTAAAACGACACACCCTGTGTATACGCTCGTTCTTTTGGTTTCTTTCCTTTTTCATTATCATAGTTGTAATTTAACCGGCGCATCGCGTTGCGAAAGAAAGGCTCCATTCTGCGCCGGTCTCGCGGCAGGGAAACCCGATATTATTCGCGGTATTGAAAAGAGAATATAGTGGCCGAATGAAAATTCATCAACGGTTGTTGGTCATCCTCACTTTTTTCGTCGGTGTGATTCGACTAAAAAAAAAAGTTCGTAACGGTGCCCGGCCAAATTAAAAATGATCCGTCAACCGTGCCGTAACGGCGAAAAGAATTTCTGCTTGTAACGCGTAACGAGTGTCCATGGACTTCCTTTTATCTCCTTTGGAATTCTGATTTTCATTTTGATTGTCACTGAGACAATCCTATTGCCTTTTTTCTTCAGTGTATTTGCTTTTCTGTTTGAATTGCATAATGAATGTTCCACGCAGCACAGTGAAATAAAGTTTGTCCGATCGTATGCACAAGCTGCGACGCAACGACGAGGGATCAGTTGTGTCTGGACGTTTAGGATTTGGATCTACGATTTCGGGACTGCAATCGTTCGTGTTTACAGTCAACAGTTAGACGCTAATGAGTGTGTTGTACTTACCTTCTCTCTGCGTGGGCGCCACTGCGGTCATCGGCTGTGGAATAGCCTGAGGAAACTGGCTGTAGACGGCAGGATAAGCTGCGACAATAACAAATAACAAATACATCATGATGTGTACACATCTAAACATGAAGTACATGCTGTCTTCTTCTTTCGCTCCCTATGTTTCTTCCGCGAATATATGTAAATAGTGAGTGTGTCGCATAAAATTATACACCCTGATACTTTCAATCCGTTGGTTTACTAATTTGCGTTTATTACATAGATAAGGTTAAAATGATTAACGCGCAATGATTTAAAGTGGCTTTCTTCCATATTTAACGATGGTAAACTAAAAGATCTATATGTAATATAAATATATTTCAATATTAGTTATGGTTAATTTCAGGTTGCAAAAAGAAATTTAATTCGTAGTTTATTATTTTGCAAGATAACCCCATTTTTGGTAAGTTTTAAATGACGAGGGATCGATTTAATCAAGTTTTTGGGAACATTTTTGGAGATACTGCGCTTGCTACCTTTTTCTATTTGTCATATTATTTTTTACTACTTCAATATTTTTTCATATATTTGAATAATTCTATCTATCTATCTTTTCTGTTGTGAGCACTCAATTTTTAATAGTATTGTCCAAAATACAACCGCACAGCGTTTATAATTTTCATTCTTTAAAAGTTTATTTTTAGTTACTCAGAAATCTTTGAACATAAATATGTTTAATTTACTTATACACAGAACTTTTTGCTTCTAATTATTCTTAATGTACGTGCTTGTGTGTAAAGTATTTTAACATTAACTACATAGCCTCAATTATTTGGTAACAACAAGTAAAATGTTTCAAATATGGAGGTATACAATTTTAAGTGACACTCACTTTAGCTTGATATGGGTAGTATGAACTACTAAAAATAGAAACATAACTGTGTACAAGAAATTTCATTTTAAGATAGATATATATTAGTTTTATTTGTGTAAATATGAGAAAATGAAATTTTATACCTCTTATCGCATTTAAAATATTTTCAATTTATGTTGTATACGAACATAGTAAAACGACAATCATCGATTTTCGTGTAACTTCAATAAAAAGCTTACAAAAATATTTAATGTTTCTATCGAGTACAAATTTCATTCTTTGATTTTACTGAACGCCAAACGAGAGATTTTTGAAACTAAATTCCACAGTTAACAGGTCAATTACCAAGAAACATCCCGTATCAGCTATGGAAAACACTACTTTCCACCATAGCTGCACCAAAATCAGTGATTGCTATTCACGTATGTTCCCTTTTTAGTGTACGCACATGGGTGCCACAGGTTAAAAGTCAGAATAAAAGAATTTCTGTGGTCATATTTAGGGTCAAATGGTTTCGCGATGTTTATACGAAACCGTTCTGCGATCAACAAGCCACGAATGATCGAGGAAAACATGTAATCGCTGTCGGACGATCGAAACGCGGCGATTTGGCACAGAGAAATAGAAGAGGGGAACTCGAAAACAGAATTTCGCGTCTGTTAAAGGTTCTGGGCGCACGATATTTTTCTAAACGCAGTCAGTCCGTCGAATTAACAAGAGGAGCTTTGGCCTGGAGAGCGGGCTCAAAAGCAAACGAAAGCCGAGTCGCCAGAGGAGGAAATTCTTTTTCCGCGAGGCTTTCTGCTGCAGCCGTTGCGCCGTTTCCCTCGACAAGGGTATTCGACACACAACGTTCTCATCGTTCCGCGACTTTTAATACGATACTTTTGTACTTTGCGACCGTGCTGCCATTACTGTAGCTGTTGATATTAAGCGACACACTTTAGAATCACGCGTACAGGCAACATGTATCCGGCGTTACGAGTGGAATACAGAAGATAGATTTCTGTACTGCAACAGAATATTACCTTTTTCGGCCATTTGAGAGCCATCTGAACGCTAGTCGACTGAATTTATAATTCGAGAAGCGTACACTGTTGTACACGAGTATTTGGACACTTGCTTGGATCTGTTTTGGTTATTATAAATGGATCGGGGACTTTTGTACGTAGAAAAATATGCGTAGATTAATTTGTAGAAATTGGAATCAAATGATAGTTTTATTGGAGCTAAAGTGAAATGGAAAGTTAATGAGGTTTGTATTGAGTTCTTTATGATACTAGAACTATCGGGATTCTAATAAATAAATATATACTTAAATAAATGTGATGTTCAAAGATTGAACATAGCTCTACAATCAAAATAATTCTTTTCGTACAACTGTAATTATTGTACCTTTGTTTGTATACCTCCATTAAATCTCATTATAATTATGATGTAATATACATATTATTATTCTTAGAAATTAATATAATACGAAATTGTATATAGTGAACCCTCATACAACATTATCCCTCTGTAATAGATCAAAGAATTCTGATTAAGCGAATTTCATTGCATCAAAGATTTTTATTTCTTCTTCAGGAGACATACGTAAATTTCTTCTCACCTTTATTGTAAGAAACTTTTTTTATTTCTTGTATATATAACAATTTTTTTTGTTTCTCATTGTTAACGTTAAACTATTTTTAATTCTCTGATGTTAAACAGAAAACGATCCGATTCACCTCGGTCTAGCCTATATATAATTTACTTTTATAGATATAACTGTTTTGTGAGATTAAAAATATTTATAATACAATAGCTGTTCAATAAAAATTGGGCTATTTCTTCTTACCCTATCTGATCAATGCTTTAGCTGCGAGACTAATTTATTTATGTTCTATAAATAATCCACGTTGTTCTTGTAACGCAAAACGTATTTCCGCATGAAACGTGACGTACTTACGAGGGTTCACAATATTTTATTTTCAATTAGCCAGGTATAAGTATCCCGATACTTATGGACGTTAAGTGTATCCGACTACAAGCAAAGTACTGTTCAGAGTAATTGAAAGAGGTAGATGAAATAGCGTTATCCGTGATATCACATTTTCCGAGAGAAATTCTTTAGCGAATGTTCCAGGTATTCAATGCTCGAATGCTCACTACCGCATAGACTGAAACGGATAAATAGGTGCTTCACCATATGATATTAGAGGGAAGCAATTATAACGGCATTAATTATGCCTTGGTAAATATTTAAAACGCGCACGATTGATGTTTGCTTGTGACGGATAAGCGCGGAAACGGGCCAGTGGGTGGCAACGAGCTGAAGGAGAACGGATATTCGCTCTCAGATCAAAAGATATAAATTTTTTCTTTGAAATTAATTATTTTCGTGCAAATATGATTTTAATATATTTCGATTGATATTGCCGGAGAGATTTCGGTCCGCCGTACGCCGTATGAAATAAATACGCTGTTATATGTACCATCGCTACCACCCGACCGAATAGACAAATTTTTGCTACTCTAAATTCCTTTTTTCTTGTTTGTTGATCTTTGGGAACTGTATGCACCGGGCAAAAAACGAAGGGGAAGAGTATTTTATATTTTGGCTATGTAAAACACGGGAAACCAATATCTCTCGGTTAGACGTATTTATACTATCGTCCAAAAGTATTTAAATACTTGCTGAATTCGATACAGAGTTTCTGAGAATTAATATTGTAAATATATTTAGAAAAAACTTTGTATTATACTGCGACTTTGTAATTTCTATGTATATAGGTACATAAATTATATTTCTTTCGTTAAGATATATCTCTATTTTCTTCATTTTTGTCGTATTTTAGAATCTTTTTCGGTTTAAATATTTTAATATGGAAAACACAAAAGGAAAATATATAATATATGTACTATAACGATGACTCCATATGTGAATGTTTATTTTCATCCAATAGTAACTATTGCTTTCCTATTTTTGCAACTTTATACCTGAAAACACAGTAATTTAATATTTATATTTTCAATGGAGAAAGGGTGACAACAGTTAAATGAAAATATTCATACGAGACAGAAATTATAAGAACTGTTTTGTTAGGAAGGTATAATTGAATTATTTGTACAGATCGTGTCTCCTGAAAAGGGTACAAGTGTCTAAATACTTACAAATGGTAAAGTATACAGTTATATTCTATGATGAACTTTTAACGATTTCAACGAGATAAATGGTACCCTACAATATATTCGAAAAATACACCAACTCCCTAAAAACTGTGTGATATAAACACCAGGTACAACATATTTTAGAGATATTACATTTGCTAACTTTTTCTGTTTGTCATATTATATTTTTCTATTCGAACATTTTTTCATACATTTGAATAATCCTGTCCATCTATCTTTTCTGTTGTGAACACTAAAATTTTAATAGTATTACCAACATACAACATTTTTAGTATAAATCCATTTTCAATGGTATTTAGTTGCATTGATATAGTCAACGGACATTGCTGAATTAAAAATTGCGAATTAGCTTAAAGTCCTTTTTGCGATTGAACCTTCGTAGAAGGTTGTATACGCTTTTCTATCATAACTGCTACTCTTCGTTACTCTTCAAGACGAAATGTGCAATAACACTGTTTCGCCCATTAAGTTTCTCTGTTACCTATTAACACTAAACCTACTAGGCGAGTCAGAATGACCAATTTCTGATTTCTTCATTTTGCAATTATTAAAAAAATAGATATTTCTCTGAAAAATGATTAAAGACATTGATTTAGCAATGCACAAACTGAATTATAAAGCAACTAAAGTCTCAATAGATGAACTCTTGGAGTTTCTATAGAGGAATTTCGAAAAGTTAATTTAACTATTTGGTAGTTTCAGTGTTAAGAACCTCTATCTTCATTGAGGAAAGTCATACAAGCTGTACAATGATTTTAAATGATTTCAAAATCTATGTATTGCGTCAGAAATTACTATAGGTAGACATTTAACCCTTCGGATCCCTTTTACCCTACTCGCATTTTCATTTGTTTAACACTGTTTTGTTTGTTTAACACTAAAACTACCGGACGGGTCAAATTGACCCATTTCAGAATTTTTATTTTGCAAGTGTTCGAATTATGAAGGCGATTCTGTGAGAGATTTTTAATTTAATTTGTGTATTTGTATAGATACAAGACTAGGCGACCGTTCTAATTTCATCAAACGTATTGTTCTGATTTTTATAAGGAATTGGAAATAGGTCACTCTAATTATTCGGTAGCTTTAGCGTTAACCTGTCTCGATTTAGTCGTGTTCTATTATTGTTAACCCCTGTGATTTCTTTCTGAATTACGCTCAACAGAGACATTTTATTGTACACAATTTATTAGGAAAGCAGAAAAATTCTACAGTTATTCTATGTATACTCAGAAGCATTACAATTAATAATAGAAAAATAATATTCAATTCGGACTTGAAAGAATTAAACGACATTTATATTTGTCAAATTCTATTTTGATTAAAGCATTAAGGATACTTCAAATTTAAAAACGATATAACGAAAATGTTACTAGCTCACGTGCTCCTATATTTTAAGATAGTATTTCAAATGTGCAGACAAACTGCGGACCGTATCAGGATTAATATAATTATTGTACTCCTACTTTTTCGCTGTCAGGCGTTAATATAAATGCCAGAACATTCACACATTGGTGGGTTGGTGTACTTTCGAAACATACTGCAGTTGTATTCCACGTTGAACGAGCTCGTGATAATTTGAGCACGAGAGACAGACAGGTGCGGCGTGCGCGCAAAGAGAAAAATCGCGTGGGCGTCGTCCAAATCGAAAGAGAAAATAATTATTATCACGGAAAGTTGTCACGGTGTCCAATGTTTTCGCAGCCCATAATGAGACGCGCGGGGTATAAGCGGAACTTGCGAAACGAGAATTCGAATGTTCCGTTAATAATTCAATTCGCGAAACAGAGAGTTTATCAGAGTCCCCGGCGCGTTAATTGCTAACGGCGGATGGGAACGAATTGAAGTTTAGTTACGTCGGAACGCTGATTATCTCTGAAACGGGATCGCCCATTTCGATGCTGATTATTGGATCATAATTTCTGCCGGATGCGTAGAGCACCGCTATGATGTAACCGTCGTTCAAGCCTTCAAATTCTGCGTCGGCTTGTTGTATTTGCGTGTCGGTTAAACATGCAAGGCACACAATACGTTTAAAAGTTACAATATTGAACGTACACGATGTATAATATATATTCAAAGGAACATTGAAGTACATTGTAACAGCACATCAGAAGCACAGCACGTTGACGCGGCACGTCAATAATATTATATAATACATATGGTTATATATTGATATATAAATATACATTATATGTACACATGTATACAGGGTGAGTCTCATAACACGACGAATTAAAATAACTTGTAAGTTATTCGTTGTACGAGAAAGTGTCTCAAACGAATGTTGCTTGACATCTAGGGGAGCATACCGTGCTCTAATCTATTTCTTATTACCTTACTGTTTCAGCGAGATATTAGGGTCGCTTTCAGTTTTTTAAACGGAATGTCTAATACTTTTTCTCAAATTCGGATGAAACATCAAATTTTGAGTAAAAAAGGTGTTACACGAAGTGGAACTTAATGAGTAATTACCGAGATATCTTCAAATGAATGTTCTTCTATTAGGAAATACGATTAGTCAACGTGATTCTCGTCGCGACTTTGTTTACGATGGTAGGTCACGTTTGTAAGCGTGTTCCCTGTTAAATGTTACAACATGAAATGTCTATTTAGTGTCTCGGTAAACATCAAAGACGCTGAAGAATGTTCTTCGCTCACTGATAGTTCGATTACGCAAATTTTTTATTGACTATAATCGACAATACTTCAAACACCACTTGAAATAAAACTTGTTTTAAAAATATCGCAGTAATTATTCATTTTAAGTTCCATATTGTATAACACTTCTTTACTCAAAATTTGACGTTTCATCCGAATTTGAAAAAAAGTATTAGACATTCCATTTGAAAAACTGAAGGCGACCCTAATATCTCGCTAAAAAAGTAACAATAAGAAACAGATTAGAGCACTGTTCCCTAGATATCAAGCAAGTTTTATTTGAAACATTTTTTCGTACAACGAATAACTTACAAGCCTATTCTTTAAGTCGTCGTGTTAGAAGATTCACCCTGTGCATTTAATTATATACAATATACATATAATTGTACGTTTATATATGTATGCATGTACATATGTATGTATACACTCGTAGCAACTGCGTACGCACACCGATATCCATGGCGGTAATATAACGACGAGACACCCATGTCTTTATACGTGTGTATATACGTGACCATACACATATACCGTATACACATGCGACCATAGCTGCATGCAACAGCCAGAAACGCGACCAGCGGAATCGAATCTTTCAAAGTTAAGTGCTCGAGTGCTCGGATAAAAGCATATTACGATCGAACGTTCGGATTCATTAATTTTTCTGTCCGATCAGTCGATTTCCTCTAAAATTATCACCGGAAGAGTGTCCGAATTTATTCCGGTTCGTCCGTTTAAAAAACGTTATTAAAAATTGAACCGTAGTATGTTCGTCAGCGAGAATCGCGTAACCGTGAGCTTTACGACGCGTTCCCGATTGCATCGTTAGAAACAGCACCGTTTTCGCGGTAGATGGAAAGCGCCGGTAATTAGAAATCGAATAAATTCATCGTCCGTGATAATAATTTTCGGGCGAATGATTTCCTTTCCGAAACTCATTACGGAGTCCAATGTTCCTCCGTGGATTGGCTTCGAGCTTTACGCGATCATCGAGAAGCGTGATAGGTCGTACAATGCGCTCGTTATAGTCTCCGTTGGAAACTTGTTGCAGATACGGAGGCTTTGGCGGAGTATTCTCGATAAAACGGAGGGAGTAAAGGTAAAGATGGCGACGGAGAAAAATAAAAAACTTACCGACACCGGTGTAGGTTTGCATTCCGGGATACGCGGCGGCATGCTGGAGTGCCGCCTCCCCGTTGGGCAGCCCTTGTGCTGAAATGGACAGATGGAGGCCATCTACACTTCAATAAGCTCAGCTCTTATCGGGGACGGACCTACGTCTAAGGCCCCTCTCGCAATTGCTGCTGACCAATCGATATCGCACGGTTTTTTACATTCTTGGGTGTCTTTAGGATACGGTCAATTTGGAAATCGCCCAACGTCGAAACTCTTCTGTAACCCATTTAACTTTAAATCGTGTTGTCCTTTGTTTTCGCCTTTATTTTGGATACTTCAAGATTATTTTAATAATGTGGACATGAAATATAAGTTTTTTGATACTAGTGAAGATGCGTAGATTGAAACCTTGTATTAAATTAAGTGAATTCAAACAAAGAAGGTAAATTAACACATTGCTGATAGGTTACGAGTTAACTCGTGTTTGTACTCGCTTTAGCTATTTCAATTCGTTGAACGCAGGCCAATATAGAATATTGCAAGAACAAGATATTGAAAGTTATACAAAACATGTGTCCACAGTTTCATTTCAATCCATTATGTATAAATAAAGTATATTGAAGTTTATTTCGATTGTTTCACTTTCATATGAATAATGTGTTAACTTAGGTCATATAAGGATGTCGATGGAAGTAGTACTTTAAAGTATCTTAAGAACAATGGAAGTTAAAATTGTAATAGGTTCAAAAATTTTCTATCTGATATACATTCCAATTACGTAATGGAATACAGTAAAGGTCAATGAAACAGAGTAGGTCGGAAAAGAATTAGTCCATTCAATTTATTCGTGAATACTTATGTAAAAAATAGTATATCAATGGAATTAATGTTGTTTAGTAATTTAAGAGGACAGAAATCATTTATATGAATAATTTATCACTAGCAAATAATGAAAAAGGAATAGAAATTTTTTGGTCAAGAATGTATTCGCGGATATCTGATGTAAAGTGAATTTCCCTCAAAAATACATATTGATTGAACAATTTATAAATATACATGTTTGTAAATTGTTTGTACTATTAAATTAAGTTTAAAATAATTTACACTCAGGTATAATGACGTATTACTTACTATATAACAATTATATTAATCACAAAGAATAGTATATGATGGTAAAATTTTAATACTTCTGGAAATATTCAATTTCTTTCTGTGTAGTCGTAAGTTACATAGTTATTTCTTGTTTTTAGCTCAATTTGTGTGTTGTACGTAATTAGAAGCAATCGTTCATTATTATTCAAGTAAAAATATTAAATTAGGTGAGCCGCATGAAAGAATGTAAATTAGCATTGCTGAAATCACAGAATTTATAACGAAAATGATCGTCAAAGTAAAAGTATAATATATTATCCAACGATTAGAAGAATAAAATCGTTTATTGAATAAAGTACGATCAATTTAAAAAATCTGTACATGAGATGAACATTGGATCCTAGAAGCAATAAAAAACAATTTTTCCAGACAAAAAGTAGTAATACTTGATATGAGAGCTAGAAATCCAAACGTTATAAGATTATTAAAAAATAACAGTTATTACGGACGAATATTCTGATTATGAAATCATAAAAAGTAAATTATATTTTCTAAGTGATGTCTAAACAAAGTTTTAATTTGTAAAAGAAGTTTATCTTTATTGCCAAATTAAAGTCTAATCTACTAGCATTATTATTTCATAATACCTTTGACTTACTTTTGATAGATAAACATTTTATTTTGTAATTGTTATATATAAAGTAAACACACGTGAAAAAGTATATGTGTAAATTCTTTCATCTTGATTACATAATGAAAGCAATTTTTAAACAAAAATTTTGCAAGTAGTTAAGTGTACCGTTTTAAGTGACACTCGGTACATACTGAATCATATTCGAAACATTATTTTCACATTAATATTGAGTGATTGAATGATTAATATCTCTAAACTAGTGGATCGTTTCTCTACACAATCAAATAACGAACAATCTAGATTACATTAATATCCTACTTTGATACTCAAAGTTCTCTCGAAGTTACTGAGTAGACAAATACATTTTTTAAACTACATTACGAAGTAATGAACTGTTCATTATCAGAAAGTAAAAAATCTCCGCTTGTTCACTACATTTCGATCGGTCATATAATACCCCACATATTTCTACAGAATTAGAAACCTTATTCACATTCCGAAACCATTTTCCGTTACGAAGATCGTAATTGTATGTACAAAAAGAAAGCATGCATCGTTCTGTATAACTTTCTACACTTTCATCATAACAATAAAAACTAAAGCGCACGACAAAGAGCAGTATAACAAAAAACAATCGGTACATACTTATTAATCTACAAAAACCACGAGAAAACGGCGAAATCGTTAATCCATCGAGATAAAAAAAAAGCATCTACATTTATCTGCAACGTTTATCGGTCTCGCAACAGTATCAAGAACACTCGACGAGCGTTCAACGTATAATACAATTGGCATTAACGTCGAACGAGAATTCCGTTTCGTTCGTTTCTTCTAAACGCGATTGAAAAATCAATGCTCGTACTTCCGGATCCCCCTCTTTTCCCTTTCTTTTCCTTTTCCCGTTTTTCTCTTTTTTTTCGGAAAATTCAAACTTTTTTCCAACACGTTGGTGAGCGTCGGTGAATCGAAGCACGGGGCGAGGTTACTCGGTTATCGCCGGAAACGCGGAATAATACAGTCCGGCGTCGATTGGCCGAGCATTGCGCAGGGGCGGCACACTGCGCCTGAGTTGATACTCACGTCCCGCGTAGGTCTGCGGTATCCCGTTGTTGTAGATACCTGGATCCGAACCTGCCGGTTGACCGTTAGGTGTTTGCGCAGCCATGTTGAAATTGGGCATCGTCGGCGATGGTAACGACGGTATCGCCCCGTTAACTGGCTGCCCTGTACCGGTACCTACGAGCAAACCTGATCAGTACACACCGGTTACCCTCTTGCTCTTACAACATCGAACCTCAGATCACCCTCTGCAACGCGCCGGCATGCGGATCCCAGAATGCTCGTGGGCGTCCGTCTAACGTTTAGCTAGTTGCCCTTCTGTACATTCTGTCAACCGATTTAACGGTATATACCGTGTAATTGGTAAGACGCCGGAATTGGTTTGCGGATGATCCGCGTGCCTCGCGTTGTGTTTGAGGATTCATATGACCTGCGAATCGCAGGATTGTTGATCCGATCTTACAACTAATAACGACTGGTCATCACTCCGAGGCCACGTAAATTCACCGTTTGTCCTTTGGGTTTGCTGACTGAGTGATTACTTTGTCGGGTTTCTTCGTCAGTCGTTTTTTTTGGAATTAGGATAAGTCGGGGAGTGGCGGCCTACTTGTCAAGGAATTATTACATTATAAATAACATTAACCACTTGCGCTGGAAAGACGTGACACGTACGTCATGATGTTTTTGTTAAAAAATTGCCAATGACATATACGCGTCGATAGTCTTATTGGATTGTATATTCCAGATTGAAATCTACCACTATGTACAAAACTATTAACCCCTTCACCTACGATGCAGTGTCAAGGCTAACATTTTAAACTTAATTTGAGAAATCTAAGTATTATTTATTTTTTTTTTAGATATATAAAAATATTACTTTTCTACTATGAATCGTTAACCTTTAAAGTAAACGCAGACATAAAATCGGCATCAATGTTTTGCCTTTTCTAAATAAATTACTAAGGGTAAAATAGTTGTGTCTGTCACAGCTAAGAAATAAATCGTAGGGCAAGGGGTTAATGAAAAAATTAGTGTACATATCTGTATATAACAGGTGAAGGCAAAATTCCTTGCGCAAGATCCTGCCGAGTCTCTGAATTCGTTGCTATCGCAAATGGTTAATAGCTAACACAAAAGAAATATATTTATGAATGTGAATAACTAGCCATATGTAAGAAGAATATTGAACATAATTGAACATAAGGATATTTGAAAATCAAAATTAGATCAGGCCGTTTCACTCGGCTTACCCTACAATAGAACTTCGATTAACCGAGTCGCTATTTTTTGTGACCGAAGTTATTTAGAATCTTGGTTACATTCGAACTCAATAATTCAGATTCATTCATAGTAACCCCTTGCCCTATAATATCATCTTAAACTCGTGTCGAAAATTTCAAATAGACTTTAAGGAATACGAATATCATTTAATTCTTTCAAATTCAGATTAAATACTACTTTTCCGTTATCAATTGTGCCATCTCAGAGTGAAAGTAGACGTAGAATGAGCGTGGTATGGTGTTCTTTTTCTAATGAATTATGAACAATAAAATAATTCTGCCGCGCACAATTACGAAAGAAATCGTAGAGTAAAGGGTTAACTTCAAATATATACCATCGGATTTTACGAATATGTTTTAAAAGGTGAAAGATAAAGAGATCTCAGATCCCCATTTATGTCGACTGCTCATTGTCATATTAAATCGGATAATCGAGGTTCTAGTGTACATTTTTACGCAGCTCTTTTCTTCCTGTACAAGATCATTGTGCAATTGGATTTTAACTTCAGGCGATGGTTCATTGATGTTAAAGTGATCGCTTCCGCAGCGCGCTAGTCACGTTTTAGCTCAAACAGTGGGGAGAAAGTCCTTTTTGTGGATGGGGTAAATATTTGCAAGATTTTGAAGGCGTTTAAATGTTCATTGAATAACAAGTAATGTTGGAAATTCGTTTCTATTCACTCGGTATTCTATTTTGAAGGGTTAATTGGATTCTTATTCTTAAAATTTTAATGCTCGTAATGAAAGGAATGTGATGTTCTGTAATCTATATGGATTCTAATAAATCAATTATTCAAGCAATAGTCACAGCAACGAGGGACAACATTAGTAGAGTCTGTTTAAAGAATTAGTAAATGATTTATCAACTAAGTACTAATTCATTAATCAATTTATGAACTGATAATTGTAGCGACGAGTTAGCGTGTTGTATAGAGAAAAATTCTATGAAGAATCACTAAATCATTTCATTTCTATAGCTAAATTCTACATAAGAGAATCATTAAATCATTTCATAACCAGATACAATTATAATATAATTCACAACTCCACCAAGTACAGTAAGGCCTCCAACTTACTAATCAAGTTAGGAGATGCACTTTCTTTTGAACGTACAAAAATGCTAGAAGAGATTACATTCAACGAATGTTTACAAAGAATCGATAAAATCATGATGTCCACCAATAATATTAGAACGTACTGAATGGTTTTCTTTTAATGTCATCAAATAATTACTATTTTTGGCGAAACGTAAAGCGAGAAATGTTGATTAACACTAAAACTACCAAGCAGTTAAATTGACTTTTTAAAATTCCTCTATAGAAACTCGAAGAGCGAATCTATTAAAACTTTCATTGATTTATAATTCAGTTTGCGTATTGCTAACTGAATTTTTGTAACAATTTCTCAGAGAAACATCTGTTATCTTTCTAATAATTGCAAAATGAAGAAATCAAGAATGAATCATTTTGATCCGTCCGATAAGCGGTTCTAGTGTTAAAAACAATTGACTACCGCATTATGTGAAGACGACATAACTGTAACACGACGTAAATCGAGAGGACGTAACTCGAGAGCCCACTGTAAATTGATTTCATTGCTCCAATTTAATAACCCGTCCATTTCAACGATCAAAGACACTTGAATAATTACGAGCAGTGGCACACGAAAGATTTACAGCGACTACGGTGACGTTATTTTCCCGCGAATAAAAGCGAACAGGCTCAGCGGGCTGCGGATCACGGTAGTAGGCGGTGGAAAGACCAAGAAGGGGTAAAGTAGAAATAAAATATTATTTTCCTATCAAACGGTATTACCTTTCGCTCGACGAGACTCGACGTATATCAGACCGCTTGCGGAGAGCCGATTTCCGTGCTTACTTTACTTGTCTGTACCATTCCGCCCTCCCTTTTCTCCACTTTGTGCGCGCGTACGCGGACGGGGGGAACAGGCTGGGATAGGAAAACCGTGACGAAACGAGACAGAAGACTGTTCGCCGGGGGTGAGAAGGGTGCAGGCGAAGAAAGAACTATGCTTTTTGGCTTTCCTCCTTCCCGTTCAGCGAGTTTTCGATAAAGTTTCGCGGTACTGGCAATATCTTTCGCCCGAGTCACGCTCAGTGAAAATGTTGTATTGATTTACGAGCCGGTTATAAGGCAACGGACTGTACGCTCCCACTGCCGCGAGGATCGGGAGGAACAAACGGGAGGGCCGGGATAAAAGGGGAAAGATAAAGAAAGAGTTTTGCGTCGGTAAAACGGAGCAATTGCCCAGCAGAGTATACATATGTGTGTATGTACGCTCCCGAACTCGTTTCTCCTCCAACGATCCTTCTCTCTCCAACGAAATGTTTCCCCGGAAATCAAGCGACTAGCCGATTCCTCCTACGTTGGTCTTCTCGAGACTGATGTTGCGTAATCGGGGTATTTGGATTTTCTACCGTGATACGCCGACAGACGCAACAGTGACGTTCAATGCGTTCGCTGCCACCGTACAGTGCAGAGCACAGTTGCAACGACAATGGAAGATTCCAACGGAAGTATTGTTTGTTATAAATAGACTGCGGATTTTTATGGAAGTTAAAAATATTCGATTAACACTGAACGTAGCATGACCAGTCAAATGATCGGTTATAAAATTTGATTTAAAATTCTACGTTTTCTTTCTGTCATTTAACTTTACATCGATTCAATTCTTATTTTTCATTCCGTTTTCATTCGCAATAAGAAAAATTTATCGTCTAACTAGTTTACCTTTATTTTATAACTAATTACTCGACTAGATAGGATAGGAGTAAATTTATACAAAAGGTACGTTTAGTGTTAATATTTATATCTATATGCAATAAATGGTTATAGATTACTAGGAAAGTATAATTGCGATAGGAAATAGTTTTTAACAAATATTATGAAAAGCACTACGCTTCGGATGTTCCATGTACTTTTTTTATGCACTCTCAAGTTTTCCATAACTGAATAAAAATCCGTAATCTGATTAAAATATGAAACGTAAGAAATTAAATGCTACGTTCCTTGTTCTCATAGAAAATCTCGACGAATTTTTAATATTTAGAATACCACAAATCGAATTTCAATGCGAAAGGAAATCCTTATGATGATGAAAAATCGCGATGAACCAGTTGAAGGTAATAATGTTAAATAATTTCCAAAATTATTATACATAAACATCGTTATCAATGGTGTATAGCTTATAATTTCCAATGGCGACTACTTTAAACCAAACAATATCGTTTTATAGATCTTCTAAATATAAAGTTTCATAGCAACAGTATCATTACCTTTCTACCACATCTCGTACAATTTCATTTCATATATTTCAATGCCTTATTCAAAAGACTTTTTAACATATAACAATCTCAAAGAATCTTGGCATATTTTTAATTAATTTTCTCAAGTACCCTCATGGAAGTTGAATCGACTGTTTTTAAATTGGAATACACAATTCGAACACAAATGTTAATGGAGAATTGTATGCTATATGAATTCGGTTAAGAAACGGTTAGTAGCAGCATTAAAATATTCGACTGTATTAGAATTATAGTTATTTTGATATGGTTTACATGCACTGCGACAAATGTTCTTCTAAAATTTTTTGTCACGTATACTGTTTTATAATTTCATCGATTTTATGCAAAAGACCCATGCTGTTTGCCGTTATTCATTCCCACAGCATTGGGGATCCGCCTCCATGATTCAATGTTTGTTTAACATGGAACGGTCGAAGAGACTCCCCTTCCTAAATCCAGGCCCAAGCATGTCCATCAGGAATTCGTTTAATTTTCTTTCGTCGGGCGAAGTAATGTGTTTCCAGTCGGAAATGTATCATTGTCTGTACTTTCTAAGAAAAATAAAAGGAGCCCTAAAATATAGAATTTTTTGATTATGGACTTATACTTCTCACACGTTTTGAACTATGGTTTCTTAAATGTTCTTAAATTTTATTACTTTTGATAGCTTGATACTAAAATATTCGCTGTTCTACATGACAGGTTGGTGCTCTTTAACATTTTTCCAAATAATAAGGGCAGAGTGGTAAATTGACCTGTTGCGCAGATTTAAAATACTTTAACTGTAAACAACTGGTATTGTAAGGCAGAATTATTAGATGATATCGATTCCATTGTAATTTTTTTTTTCGTTTCATATGTTGGTAACGTGACTAACGATTGCAGACTAAGATTAATTATTATTAACGCGAGAAGTTTTGTGGTGGAGACAAGGAATTATTTTATGTACTCATCTTGCGAACGCATTTGAAATTCGAGGTGGTATAAAAATTGTGAAACGTCTTGAAGACAATAATAAGTTAGTAGTGTTGATTTTTATTAGCTTATATTTCATTCATCGATACTTCCTTTGAAAAATTTCACAATTAGTTCAGTTTTGTTCCTTACTGTATTTGTGACGTTCATGATATTATATAAGGGAAGTCAAATTAATAGCATTTAAACCTTTATGTTCTAAATTACGTCATTTTGCTTTTTATTCCTATCTTCTGTTACAATTGTTATACAGTAAGATTTGAATAAAAATTGTACTTTAAAGTACGTCCAAGATATAAAATATTGAACTCGTGATGCCACATTTGCAAAGTCAATAACTTACCATTTTTACATTTAGTTTATTATTTTATGCAGATGAGACGTTATGTTTGACAAAAATAGTGACTGTGGATATTGATGGCAAAAAAATGATGGCGGCGAACGTTTGAATTTTCACTGAACTCTCCATTCCGTTCGAAATATAAAAATTACTGGGACGTAACTGTAGGCTCAAAAAACTTACCGGAAGTCGGTGGAACCACAGGATTCGGCATGCCATTTATCGCGTGCGGCAATTGTCCAGTGGCTAACGCCGCCATCGGGTTGATGTACGTCCCCTGTGCTGTTGCAGCAGCCATGAGAGCCGCTTGCTGCTGTAAATAGATTTGTTGTGTCGAATGCGCTTGTGTGAGCATATTTCATTTTCGATAAAATCTCATCACGATCAAATTAAATATGGAATTACCAAATATAAATAATCCTCACTTTTAAATTTACTGCATATACCACTTTACGTACTAACAATTATTTCAAGTATTTTAGAACTCAGTAGTTAACAGCTAACGAGTTCTTTTAATGAAGTTTCCTTTTAACTGATATTATGAAAAATAATTAATTCACAGAAATATGTGAATATTAGAAGTTAATCGTATGGGAATACAAATATGTTGCGAAAAATACGATAAGCTATACTATTACAATAGAAAATTGTCTGCTTCGTTTTCAATGAAAATATTTTGATTACTTGATTTTATTCGTAGATTAACAATATTAGATTTTAGTACAATTGAGGATAATTCTTCGTTCTGCTGTAACTAAAATCTTTGGGTTACTATTTGTTAAAAGTATATCATATTAGTAATATGAATTAAAGCAAAATCTGATTGTAGATCATACAAAAAAAAATTCAATTACATATGCGTTAAGTGGAACGAGGTAACAATTTCTTTTAGAATTATTATTCAAAAGACAAAAATAATTTTCTTCTATATAATAAAGACATTAAAAAATCTATTAACTTTACGTCGCTCGCGTCGTGGAAAATATTACATCGGTAGGAGTAATTTTCACTAGAAACATAATAGCGTTGCACCTAACACGTTTACTGTTTTTCGCTAGAGAAGTTTTTTCACTATGTTTTTTCCGCTCAGCGTATTAAAATATGAATTTTCCTGTTAAAATTTAAGCTGTCGACGATTGAAACGTTAATTTAAAATGAAATTTCATCGTGTGACTAAATTAGCCGTGAGTGACACGAGCTTAATAGGTTTCCGGCAGGTAAAGCGTTGATATTACATCCCGTCGTCCTTTTCGTTCGATTTCTCATTTGAAATACTTTGAAGGAAACACCGAATTCCGTATCCTGTTACCGTTGCTCGGCGTTAACGGAACATTATCGAATGTCGTCGATAATTTCTAACAAGACAGAAACTATTACAGGTTGTGATTCGTGATAACGAGGGCAACCAGACGGTAATGTGGTAACGCGAGAACCATTAACGGTAATGTGACCCACCTGAGCATAAGCGCTGTAAGCGCCGAACTGATTGTAGACAAAAGGGTGAAGGAGGCCCATGTTCCCGGCCATTTGCTGCATGCGTCTATTTTGTCTGTCTTTCTCAGTATCTGCAAATTTTACCACAATGCTGGATGACGCACCCTGAAACATAAAATTATTCATTGTTACGTAGGTAATTATTTATATTAATACGTATATTTATCAGTTAACTGCGTTCGACGAGGATACACGTCATCTTAAAACGCAGAACGGTAGGAATTTTTTAACGATGAATTATTTATTTTTCCAGATATATATACAATTCTTTTTCGTGTTGCTTTAGTTTTTCATTAAAATATATTATAGGTGTATTTCCCCTGTGTCTAAAATATTTAAAATATTACGCACAACGAAATATTTTTAAAGCTAAATTCTGCACCTAACAGGCAGTAGATATTAACTCTCTGATGGCAATATGGGCCTGAGAGAAATCTTATTTTTTCACAATTTTACCAAGGTGTTTTATTTTTATCGCACAATGACATGAAGATTCGACTAAAGCGACATTTGAAAAAATTCCAAGATACTTATTATGGTCCCCAATTTAATTTACAGAGTTTTATAGAATTCCATTGGTGGAAAACCATGTTGCCTGTGGTGGGTATAATATAAATTGATTTAGTGATATAATTTTTTCAAAATGCAGCATGAAAATTCGAACGAGTAATGAGTCCATAAAGTACTTTCTAATTTAAAGGGGCATGTAAAAATTGAATATTATAATTTATAATATTATAAATGCATTAATGTAATGTTTGTTACTGTTTCAAATCAAGAATATTGAATATTCAATAATCTCTAAATTATTCCCATACAATATTTAAATGACTAAATTATGCAAGAATTTTACTTGATCTCACATATGCATACTGCAACCGTATTATTTATTATTTATTATTAATTATGATAACATGTAACAGATCAACAGTTGCACATAAATATTTACATGTGACAATATATTTAGTTCTGTTATATTTTAAAGATATGTAATGGATTAGTAGAGTCATATTTTTGTTGTAATTCGAAATCACTTCTAACGTAATGATTCTAGTAATGACTCCATTAAATAAGAACTAATTATATTACTGTGACTTAATGTACTCAAAGTATACTGTTTCTTAAAAGTTACTTAACTCCAGTTAACATAATAATTCAATTTTTAAAACAATGTTACGTGACACTTTCTAGAAGATCCTTCATAATTTATGGTGCAAGAGATTTTGAATAACTTAAAGCAGGAATAAGCAGTAATTATAAGATTCAGTTGAAACGTTTTAGTTTGATATACTTTCGTAACGCTCACTGGTCGACGTTACTGAATAAACCAGTTGATGCATAAGTGTGAATCGCTGTCAAGGGAAGGGAATTATAGTATTCGTATCTCGACGTGGAAAAATGTTCCTTTTAAGACGTTTACGAAGATAGGTAAGGCGATGACGGCCTCACCACACCTAAAATATAAATGGAAAGGCAACAGGTGGTCAGTGGCCATTGTGGTTACGGGGAAAAGCTCAGCTTTTGAGCCTCTGACGATATATTATATTCACGTCATCAATGCAAATGCTGGGCGTGTCTACTTATGAGTTTATATAAGGATGGTGATATTGTAACCTGTTGACACGTACCTGAAATTCCAGATCTTACAATACGATTATCTGTACTGATCTTCCTAATTTCTTTAATTCGTCGTATTTGCATGGATTAGTTAATATCTGAGACTATTTTTATTGTTTGTATATTTTCGATTCCTTATGTACCTGTATATTCATGTTTAGTATAATTGTCACTGATTCTCTTTAGATCACATCTTATATTAATTTTAGAGAATAAAATAATATGGGATTCTTTTGATGATACTAGTTGCAAAACTTGCAAAATCATTATCCTTCTTCATATTATTAATCAAAGATTCGAACGACTGATTCCTTCAGTTAATTAAAATAGAACTAACTGTTTGTATTTCTCCCTTTCCGGCTACAATATTTTTTCACATCATGACCATTCCGTCGAATTGTTCAGTTTTCAATTTCTTTCAAATACATACAGATCCGCAGTCTATTCATCAGTGTCGCTGAAAGGTATTTTCGTTAGCATTTTATGCACAGCACGACTGAGCGGCCGGTCACGCGCGAGACTGTCGAATACAGTCGACGTTTCGTGAATTGTGTTCAGTAAAGGCTTTCCCGAGGAAAAGAGAGCCGCCTGGCCGCGATTACTAGAAGTTTCGTTTACAACCGGGCCGAATATGGCCAAACACGCGAATAACTGTGGCGCTCCAAGGAAACCAGCATCCGACCACAGTTTACAAGGCATAAAAGTTATGCAGGTTTCATGGCCGGATACAAGTTTCCACATTACGGTAACTAATATCAAGAGTACCTGTGAAACTCGTACCTGTTGTTTCCATTCCTATAACGGGCGAAACCTTAAAAAAGTATTGGGGTTGAGATATCTTAACCTTTAACGCGATTATAAAAAAAAATTCAATAACGAACGAAGTTCATACTGTATATCGACCATTTCGATTAAGAATACATTCTTTCGGTATAATATTGCAACTTGCTGCGACAGAATGTTCGTTGGACATGTTAGTAAATGTAAGGAAATATTTTATTTGCAATTTATCCGCTGTGAGTGAGGAATTATGGATGATCCTACTGATTACTAAAGATTCTTTGTTCTTCGTTTATATTATGAAGAGTCGTACTGCTTGTAATATTTACCGGAGTTTATATGAAAGTTTTAAGAACCTTTAAACATTTAAAGAGTATTGAAAAATCTGTGTAAAATCTTTCCTTCGAGATTACATTTTCAAGAAAATCGATCAAAAGTTCATCAAGTAGGGTAATTTCAAGTAAAATGGCTTTGCGGACGAAATAGCCCGATCTTATTTAGAGGGTTCACACTAGATTTATGGATATTTACTGTATAGTCCATTCTATCGCTCTTAAAGGAATTGATATTCATTTATTTAGATTTTGGAAATTAGAAGTTTAAAAGTAGAAAATTGGGATACATATTTGAGTATTTGTATCAATCGAAATCGACCCGAACATTTACTAAATAATGTTCATAGAAATCAATAGCTTTCTAAAATTTCCTTTCTAAAATCTCTTCGTGTATCGTATTCTCTCAACTTGTGTGATTAATATTTTTTTAATCTTCCCCGAAATTCGGAGACATTTAAAATGTTAGTGTTAGTAACGTTTCGGAACATGATGTAGTTAGATTCATAATCGTTTGGAGAATATGTGAATATATATATCACAGAGCAATCAGTTGTTCAAATATTTCTCAGAGTTTCGAGACATAAAGGAATCCGGTAAAGAGAGTCATACATATCCGAAAAAAATTCGCAAAATTTGTTAACAATTCCTAATTCCAAGTACATTTTCATTGTCAGAAGGAAAGCAACTCAAACGTTTCGTACAAAACGGTCTAAACTCTTCAGTTTCTCGAATTTCTACATTAGGCTTGCCTTACAGTGCCCCGAAAACCTCAATCTATTCAAACGTATAGGAGAAATATCTATTTTTAAAAACTGTCAAACAGTCACGTCCTCTTAACACGTTAACTATCATAGTGGTTATTGATGATCGGTACTTCTGTATTACTTGAAAACGATTACAATATATAGCACAACTGATGTCGAACAAAAATGTTTAGCAGCAGAGGTAACTAATAGCGTAACATAAAAATTATTATACCAAACAATTAACAATTGATTATATTTATCCTTACTACGAACGAGCAAGTTAGAGAGTAACAGATAGCCAAATCATGTAGATTGTCAAACATGCATATTTCCAATCGTTTTTACTCCTCTACTGAATTCTGCACACAATCCTATATAACCGTTCTTCTCATCTGCATTTTCATCCGTAAATATATTTCCTTTCATTAGACGTTAACGATATTTATGAAATTCGTTTTCTTAACAAAAGGCCTTCTCTCCCCAACTTACGTCACCCAAAATATCCTTCCATAGCAGACACCCTGTTAAATAATTCTCTGGTAACCGTGGCCATCTCCTCATTCCAATCACGGTAAACCGAAACGTGGAAATCCGAGCGAAGGGCACCGCGTCTGCTCACAAGTTGTAGGCTGACAAAACCAGTGAACAAGAAAATTTTTCGAGTCGCCCCGTTACGCTTTGTCGATCCATTCCCAAGGAACTCTCTCTCGAAAGGAGGTGGCAGCAACGTCGCCGAGGTCATTGGCGAACGGGGAAAGTTCGCGCGGCAAAAAAAATATTCAGGGGCGCTCGGCTTCGTAAAGCCGGGAAAAATATCGACAGGTCGTAGAACGGCCGCCGCGCGCGCAGAGGGAGAGATGACGTTTTGTATTCTCTCTACAGGGCAGAGCCGCTCGAACAACTCGTTATACGCGGTGAAAAGCATCGACGCGTGTTGTTGAGGAAAATAATTTGTCTCGCGTCGACAGCCTCGGAAGCGTGGAAGGCCTCTCTCTCTCCTCTCCCTCTTCACCGTTCGACAAACCCCACTTCTCACTCTTCGCTTCTCTCTCCAGGCCACTCTCTCTCTCTCTCTCTCTCTCTCTCTCTCTCTCTCTCTATGTCTCCCTCCCTTAACTCTCTTTCAGCGCACCGTGTCGGCCTGCTAAGTCGTGTAGCGTATGTGACATTTACGCACTGGCACATATGTACATCGTCGATGTACAGAGAGAAAGAGAGAGAGAGAGAGAGAAAGAGAGAGGCCACGGTAGGACGTTGGAAGGGGTAAGAAGGGTGCCGAGGTCGTATCAGAGCCAGTGAAGCCGAAGCCTCATTATTGGGGGATTACGGTTCATTAATTCCGATCCAACGTTCTGAACTACACGCGAAAAGAAAAAGCCACCCTAAGCGATATTGCCGGGAGAACGTTTGAAGCTTCTACTTTCCGGCTCGTTATGTTTATCCCGTACACGGCACTGTTTAGGTTGTCCTTTTTAAAACTCGCGACACGAAAGCACAGTCTTATTATAGTTTCGTATGTATACTTGTGTCTATGCATAGGCGTCCCCCCTTCCTATTCGCTGTGTCTGATGTTGAAATTTTGTGGAATATCGTAGATGCGGACAAAATGTTTTGGGATTGGTATTGG